TTGGGTAAATATAAGTTTTGCTATTTCTTATTCTGTCTTTCATGTGTAGGCAAAAAGAGTCCAGTTATTGTCAAGGCTATATACTTTGCTAAATAAGCTGTTTGCAGAGCTCAATAGCTGAAACTGAAATGTTCATATATAAGTGAATGAGTCAGAAGAATAACACAACCTCCTCATCTCTCTCCCTTCTTACCTACTGTGTACTGGGCTCTGTACAAAGTTTCACTTAGAGAAAGAGCATGAAGGCAAACACCATCTGCTGTTCTCTCTTTCGAAAACCTTGAAATTCTCTAGCATAGAATTCTCCCTCTATCTGCACATGTAAAGCAAACTTGCCTTAATTTCAAGTGTCTTCTATGCAGTCATGTGACAAGTACTGTCCCTCTTTTCCATCTCCAGCTATGGGTAGTTCTAAATGCTGCATAGAACAGAGCTGACTGTGAGCCCATGATATATGATGACACTAAATCAGGGGTTGTCGAACGAAGGGGAAAAGAAAGGGGGAGGAAAAAATGCAAATGGACTTTAAAGGCAAAGAAACTCTAAATACATACAGTCAGGTCCAAAATATTGGGACATCGACACAATTCTAACATTTTTGACTCTATACACCACCACAAAGGATTTGAAATGAAACGAACAAGATGTGCTTTAACTGCAGACTGTCAGCTTTAAGTTGAGGGTATTTACCGAATCAGGTGAACAGTGTAGGAATTACAACAGTTTGCATATGTGCCTCCCACTTTTTAAGGGACCAAAAGTAATGGGGACAGTAGAAGAAGGGGAGGATCAGAGAAGACAGGATCAAATAGTTTTTTTACACAATGCAGAGGATTAACCCCTTAGGCTCCACAGTGAGTTTAACAAGCATGCTTAACTGCATATACAGACTGATTTTACTGTTGTGTGTTTAGTAACAATTTAAGGGCAGCAATGGAGCACAGAGAGGGTAAGTAGTACTGTATATTAAAATTATTGCGCTTTTTTTTTGGGGGGGGGGGGGGAAATATATTATACAAAAAAAATCAACTGAACTTGGGCCCATTAACATTATTTTTTTTCTGAATTATTTTAAAATATTAGAAAGAAAAATGCATGAAACATAATTTTAAAAATGTATAAAGTATTTTGGAGCTGTATAGAAATCTTCAGTTGTTGAAATTCACACAGGCATTTATGCAGATGTGGAGTTTGTTGGGCAATTTTTGTGGGAAGAATGCCCCTTACATTGGTGGTCAGTGGGAAGAATGACTTCTTACAGTGGAGGTTAGTAGGAAGAATGACTTCTTACAGTGGAGATTAGTAGGAAGAATGCCCCTTACAGTGGAGGTTAGTAGGGAAGAATGACTTCTTACAGTGGAGGTTAGTAGGAAGAATGACTTCTTACAGTGGAGGTTAGTAGGAAGAATGACTTCTTACAGTGGAGACTTCTTAGTAGGTTAGGTTAGTAGAAGAATGACTTCTTACAGTGGAGGTTAGTAGGAAGAATGACTTCCTACATTGGAGGTTAGTAGGAAGAAGGACTTCTTACAGAATGACTTCCTACATTGGAGGTTAGTAGAAAGAATGACTTCTTACAGTGGAGGATTAGTAGAAAGAATGACTTCTTACAGTGGAAGTTAGTAGGAAGAATGACTTCTTACATTGGAGGTTAGTAGGAAGAATGACTTCTTACAGTGGAAGTTAGTAGGAAGAATGACTTCCTACATTGGAGGTTAGTAGGAAGAATGACTTCTTACAGTGGAGGTTAGTAGGAAGAATGACTTCCTACAGTGGAGGTTAGTAGGAAGAATGACTTCTTACAGTGGAGATTAGTAGGAAGAATGACTTCTTACAGTGGAAGTTAGTAGGAAGAATGACTTCCTACATTGGAGGCTAGTAGGAAGAATGACTTCTTACAGTGGAAGTTAGTAGGAAGAATGACTTCCTACATTGGAGGCTAGTAGGAAGAATGACTTCTTACAGTGGAACCTAGTGGGAAAGTGGTCAGTGAGAAAAGTACCCCCTAATATTTGTTGTCATTGGGAAGCATGATGACTTGCATTGGTGGCCAGCAGTAAGAATGCCCCCCACAGTGGTGGCTACTGGAAAGAATGCCCCTTATAGTAGTAGTCAGTGGGAAGAATACTTCCTTACGTTGGTTGTCAGGGAGAAAAGTACCCCTTATATTTGTGGTCATTGGGAAGAATGTCTCCTTACATTGGTGGCCAGAGAGAAGAATACCCCTTACACTGGTGGTCAGTAGGAAGAATGACACCTTACATAGATGGCTGTTGGTATGAATATACCTTCTATTGGTGGCATGTGAGAAGAATGTCTTCTTACATTGCTGATCAATGGGAAGAATGTCCCCTTACACTGGTAGTGAGTAGCAAGAATGTCCCCTTACACTGGTAGTGAGTAGCAAGAATGCCTCCTTACATTGTTGGCCAGTGCAACAAATGTCCCTTTACATTGGTGTTTAGCTGGCAGAATGCCCCCTTACATTAATATTCAGTGGAATTAATTTCTCTTACATTGGTCGTCCATGAGAAATACACACCTTACATTGGTGGTCATTTGTAGAAGGGCCCCTTTAAATTGATGGTCAGTAGGAAGAATACCCCTTAGATTGGTGGGCAGTGGAGAAATGCCTGTACATGGGATGACCCTCAACCTACTGTGTATAGTCATTTTGGGATCAGAACTCATCCACACTGTAGCACGTGTTAACATGAACACTTTGGTGAGGTTTGTTTAGCCCCCAATAGTTCCTCGCTAAGGCAAAAATTCATTATGTATGACATAGTCATGTCATGGCCACATCTACACGCAATACACTGCTTTTTGAGCACCTTGGTATCCCAATAATTTAGAACAGCCACCAACCGTTTATCAGTATCAAAAACCTTTTCTAATACTCTTCACCCCCTACCCTAATACCCTTCCTTTACTTCCAAATTTACAAATATAATACAAACATATAATTCAGAGTATTCACCAAATGTCCCAAATAAAGTTCAAAATCAAAGTCCAAAGTCCAATGTTCACACTATTCAATCTTCCAAATGTGATGAGATGTTCAATTTGTTATTCTAAATCCAAGATACCCTCTTGCAGTCTCAAAAAACGTTTTCCAACATTCCAGGATCCAAAGAGTATATCCAATATACACCTTTCCCCTTGTGAGTCAATCCAAAGGAGTCTTCCCTGCTCCTCGTAAGGCAGAGAAGAAGTCGGAAGTGACAAAACGCGTCAGGGTCGTGACGTCAGGACGCATAACCGGAAGGAGCAACGCCGCCATCTTTGTTGTGGGAATTTGTCTGTTTGGACTGATGGAACAGGATGGACGTGTTGTCAATGTAAGCTACTAATAAAATTTATATTTTACTTGTACACTCCACTAAATCTCGTCCTCTCTGCCTTACGAGGAGCGGGGAAGACTCCTTTGGATTGACTCACAAGGGGAAAGGTGTATATTGGATGTACTCTATGAAAGCCTGGAATGTTGGAAAACGTTTTTTTGAGACTGCAAGAGGGTATCATGGATTTAGAATAACAAATTGAACATCTCATCACGTTTGGAAGATTGAATAGTGTGGACATTGGACGTTTGGACTTTGATTTTGAACTTTATTTGGGACATTTGGTGAATACTCTGAATGATATGTTTGTATTATATTTGTAAATTTGGAAGTAAAGGAAGGGTATTAGGGTAGGGGGTGAAGAGAATTAGAAAAGGTTTTTGATATTGTGCACTTTCAAGGGTGAAAGTTTTACTTTTCTGGGGATATATATAGAGATTTTAGTTGATATAACCGTTTATCAGTGTCTGTGTCCCGACTGCAGATATTCTCTCATCTTCTGTCTGATAAAAATAAGTAAGGGATTTTCTTCCCAAAAGAACCTCAATTGTCTATACTGCATAAAAAATAGCAGAGGTTGTAACCTCTCCTCATGCTATCCAAAATTTAGTGAAAAGAAAATTGTCTGGAGATACTTTATTACAAGTATTTATGTAACGCCTACAACTTCACATATATTGTACATTGACTCCCGTTAGTCCCTGCCCTCAAGGGGCGTACAATCTAAGCTTACATTCATACAGTACATAATCTGGGGCCAGTTTAGACAGAAGCCAATTAACCCAGCACGCCTTTGGAGGAAACCCACGCAGGCACAGGGAGAACATGCAAACACCAGGCAGGTGGTGCTGTGGGTTGAGATTTAAACTGATAACCCTAGTACTGCCAGGCGGAAGTGCTAATCACTTAGCCACTGTGCTGCCCTTAACACTGATGAGATTTATACTATGCAGATCTGATTCGGGTTTATATCTGGAAATGATGACAAGCCTCTCTTTAAATCTTGTGCAGCTCAGCCAATGAACAAAGGCGATTTAGCAGTTTATGGCTCAGTAGCGGGACGAAAGATGACCCTTCCATTCAGGCTTTTCGCTTTGTCTTCTGTTGTGAAAAAAAAAGAGCTAGCAGGACTTTATGTCCATCTATGTTCTATTACTACAATGATGTATATGTCACTAACACAGAGAAACAGATATTACATCTAATATTGCAACAAATTGTATCAGATGTACAACCTGCCATACAGCCGATATCTCAGCAGACCTTCTGCTACCGCCAGCTGCTTCATGTTAACACCTCATCATGGAAATGAACCAGAGCAGCAAGGGGAAGAGGGAGAGAACCTTCTTCTATAAAGGAGCTTGGAGGGGATGGGATCTGTATCGCTGACCTAAGTGTAGCAGAAATCCAAAACTAAAATTGAGCTGACCTGCCAGGAATGACGCGTCCAGGACAGCCTAGAGTTGCCTTTCTTAACCCTTTTACCATGGAGAAAACCTTAAAATAACAGTCAGATCTCAAGATTCTCCTGCTAAAAATAATTTTATATATATGTATATATATTGTGGCAGTGCTGTATCCTGCCACGGTGGAAATCATGATGGAGACCCAGGATTCTCAACCATACAGGTTGAGGGGCTCCAGGCAGTTCTCATAATACAGAGGAAACTGGCTTATCAGTTTCCTCTTTGGTTTGTAAAGCCTGTTTTGGGACCTGTAGCCTGGAGATTTCTAAGAGATTTGGGAGGGATGAAATCTCCAATCCTGGGCCCATGTTTTGAGAGCAGCCAGCAAGATGATTGCACAGGTGTGTGCAGGCCTTTTTGTGGAGGCCAGGTTCATGATTCTGGGCTCCACCCCGGCAGACGGGAGGTCTCTGCCTTGGAGTCAGGTGAGGTCTCTGCCTTGGAGTCAGGTGAGGTCTCTGCCGTGGAGTCAGGTGAGGTCTCTACCGTGGAGTCAGGTGAGGTCTCTACCGTGGAGTCAGGTGAGGTCTCTCTCTGTCCTTGGAGTCAGGTGAGGTCTCTGCCGTGGAGTCAGGTGAGGTCTCTGCCGTGGAGTCAGGTGAGGTCTCTGCCGTGGAGTCAGGTGGGCTTCACCAAGGAGAGGTGAAAGCCAGACTAGCTGTGTGCTAGAGGTTTGCTGTGTGCACAAAACAACCTTTTGGAAGGAGTCTGCAGGAAACAGACATAAAGCGGTATACACAAATGCTCCTGCGCTTGGGGATGGACTTGATGCAGGCTACAACCACATTAAGAATGTCCTGGAACATGCACACCTTGCTGCCCTCAAATGGACCAGGGGAATCCAAATATACTGAATGGGGAAAGAACAAAGAGAGGGCGCACAGGCCTAGTGCATTACCATAAAAAATGTTTAATAAAAAATAAAGTAGGGCTCTGAGGAAGAGGCAAGTCCTCGAAACGCGTCAGCCTTTTGGATGTCTAAACTCCCTATTGCGGACTGTTACTCAGCGCGGTGTTGACCCAGCTGTTTTTTTATGATGTGCCTTGACTATATTGTCGTTTGTGAGTACAACACCTACTTTATTTTTTATTAAACATTTTTTATGGTAATGCACTAGGCCTGTGCGCCCTCTCTTTGTTCTTTCCCCATAAAGCGGTATACCTGAGAGAGCCAGAAGGCTGACATTTGTTACATTGGATACCCCTGTGTGGGAAGCATTTTGGTTATTGAACTCTTTCCTTTAAATAAAATTGGGCAAAAAGGCCCTTAAAAAGAAACGAGTTGCTGTGTGCTTTGAAGAAGCTCTACCATTTTGAAGCGAGTTCCCACAATAATATATATATATATATATATATATAGCCTGCATACAATAACAGGCCATTTCCGTCCCGTCCCAGTTTTCTAATTTAGATGTGTAGTCCAACAAAAGCTTAAAAAAGAAAAATAGAAAATGGAGGTGTACCTCTGTACAGAGTAACTAGTCAAAGGGAATCATTTTCATAGACTGGTTTATGTTTGAGAGGTTTTACCAACATTCATGTCCATTTACGTAACAGAGTCAGAAATCTATTATACGCAAACACATAGCTTATGTCCTGTGCTGTAAGGCAGCTACAATAATGTAACTATCAACTGTAATTTTGGGGCTCTGTTTTGCACATCGTTCTACTCCTGCTCCCATCAGGTTACACTCTGCCTCCTCATTTTGAGACATATCCAGTACACCAAGTTGGACTGAGTACATCTCAAAGGGAACAACAAAATGAGCCCCATGTGACAATAATATACACTATATTGCCAAAAGTATTGGTCGGCCTGCCTTTACACGTACATGAACTTTAATGGCCCCCCAGTCTTAGTCTGTAGGGTTCAATATTGAGTTGGCCCCGCCCTTTGCAGCTATAACAGCTTCAACTCTTCTGGGAAGGCTGTCCACAAGGTTTAGGAGGGTGTCTATGGGAAGGTTGGACCATTCTTCCAGAAGCACATTTGTGAGGTCAGGCACTGATGTCGAATGAGAAAGCCTGGCTCACAGTCTCCACTCTAATTCATCCCAAAGGTGTTCTATGGGGTTGAGGTCAGGACTCTGTGCAGGTCAGTCAAGTTCCTCCACCCCAAACTGGCTCATCCATGTCTTTATGGACCTTGCTTTGTGCACTGGTGTGCAGTCATGTTGGAACAGGAAGGGGCCATCCCCAAACTGTTCCCACAAAGTTGGGAGCGTGAAATTGTCCAATATATCTTGGCACTACACTTGGCACAATGCAGTCAGGCAAGTACAATACTCCTGTCAACCGCCAAACCCAGACACGTCCATCAGATTGCCAGAGAGAGAAGCCGAGATTGGTCACTCCAGAGAACACGTCTCCACTGCTCTAGATTCCAGTGGTGGCGCGCTTTACACCAGTGTTCCTCAGCCTTTTTCCAGTCAGAGTGCCCTTGCAATATTTTCTCAGTCACAAGGCACCCCTGTCCAAGGCTTGGTTTACGTTACTGTGTGTTGCTGAATGCATGTGAAATTGCGCTCATTCCTGACACACAGAAAAATTCTCTGCTCTTTAAGGGGACCCCATACATTGGCAAACGTGGCGTGTTTTTGGTGTGGTGCAATTTCCAAACTAAGGTCAGGGATGACTTTCCCTGCATTTCTGCGGGTAAGGCAGCCCATTGAATGAATGGGCTGCCCTACACACACCACACAGACGTGAACCAAGGGCCTGTTCACCTGTGAGGTTGGAGGGCAGTAAAACCACGCAATTGAGCTGCTTTTACCACCCAACTCCTCCCCCTTTAGCTGCAGAAACAGCAGCTGGGGGTATACACATGCTGTTGTCGCAGCTGGAAGTATACCTCCAGGTGAATGGGGTTGAACTACAACCACCCCGCAACTGTGTATGCATTGCACGCGGTTGTGGTGTGGTTTGGTGATTGATGCTGCTTTTACGGGGTTAAACTAGGTGGTGAGGAGGCAACATATTGCCTCTTTACCACCTGTCAAATGCCTCTGAAAAGCTATCTGAGCATGGATTGCTTTTCAGAGGAGCAGCAGTCCTTGCTGCTATTACGAACAAGTCTAAAAAAGCACTTCTGAAAGGCCAGGAATAAGGGGTCAAGATTAAAAGTAACATACATACACATAAAAAACAAACACACACATACAAACACACACTCAGACATACACATGTACGTACACAGACACGTATGTACATAGACACATACTCATAGATACATACACACACATACACACACATACAGAGTGCACTATATACAGTGAAAAGTTACAGTACGTTCGCTTCCATCACACAGCCCGGTACTGCACCTAGGGGGAATCAGAGAGCACAGAAGACACTTCCCTTTGCTGAGCGGTGTGACGGCTCCCAGTGCCAACGTACAATGCGTCTGGGGATCGAGAGCTTGGGTTCAAGTGACAGCCAGCCCATAGCACCCCTGATGGCACCCCGGTTGAGAAAGGCTGCTTTACCCCACGGCATCCGACGCTTTGCATTGGACTTGGTGATGTCAGGTTTGGATGCAGCTGCTGGGCCATGGAAACCCGTTTCATGAAGATCTCTACACACTGTTGTTGTGCTAATCTGAAGGCCACATGAAGTTTGGAGGTCTTTAGATATTGACTCTGCAGACAGTTGGTGACTTCTGCGCATTGTGTGCTTCAGCATGCGCTGACCCCACTCTGTCATTTTACGTGGCCTACCACTTGGTGGCTTAATTGTTGTTGTTCCCAGCTGCTTCCACTTTGTTTATAATACCACTAACAGTTGAGCGTGGAATATTTAGTAGCAAGGAAATGTCACGGATGGACTTATTGCACAGGTAACAACCAATCACGGTACCACGCTTGAATTACTGAGCTCCTGAGAGCGACCCATTATTGCACAAATGTTTGTAGAAGCAGTCTGCATGCCTAGGTGATGATTTTATACACCTGGGGCCATGGAGGTGATTGGAACACCTGAATCACATGATTTGGAGGGCTGGCCCAATACTTTTGGCAATATAGTGTTTGTATATTATTGCCATGTGGGGTTGTACCTATGTTTAACTTTCACAAAAGTTGTCAAAAGTTTCAGCAGTATGGGTGTCTCTCTGGAGGACCAACATTTAACAGGGGAAGTACAACTTTGCACTATATAGTGTCCATTAGTTTAACCCCTTCACACCTAAGGGTAAAACAAATCTAAATGCCTAAGCACAATTCTGCAACGTTGACATGTGTTAGTAAAACCGTACATATCATCACAACTACTTGTACATCCAGGTGAATTATACCGCGTTTTTTTCAGGACAAATTGGGCTTTCATTTGATGGTAAATGGTAATGGATAGCTCCTAATTTTTTTTTTATTATTAAAGGAAAACTGGGCCAAAATCGTAAAAAAAAATCGTTTTTTTTTTTTATTTAACTGTGTTTCTTGTTACGACCATAACCTACCACCAAAGAACAACCCAAAATAAATTCTCCGGTTCTTGACGATCGCAGCGATACCATATATGTGTATGTTATTTGTTGTCTGTACCCGTAGTACAGCCCAGAAACAATAGTGCGCATTCATTTTGTTTTTGTTTTTTTTTTTTTTTTACACAAAACACACTGTCACTGACACTGACATTAACACTAACTGACACTGATACTAATTTTTTTAAATCCTGACCTTTGACCCTGACCTTGACTCAAACACTAACCCTGGTACTGAACTAGATCAAACCTTGATCTAGGTATTTTTCTTTATTTGTTATTTTATTTTTTAATATTTATTTATTTGTCTTTTTTTTTTTTTTTACAAACTTTTTTTTTATCTCTCTGTCAGGAGTTCGAGAGATACAATGTATCTCTCTTCTCCATTCATAGAGAGAGAGAAAACAAGGGGGGCCGGGGTGCACAGTGACTGATCACTGTGATAGCCAATCAGAGGCTATCACAGCGATCACGTGACCCGGATTCGGGAGTCCCGGATCCCGATCGTTAGAACGGGACCCGGGGCTCTCAGTGACACCGCGGTCTCGGTGCTGGGAGCGCGCCGAGCGGCGCGCTCCCAGCACAAAGACAGGTACGCAAACATGCGGCCCCACGGAAAAAAGCCCAGGTCCGGGAGGCCGCATATTTGTGTTACGTCGGCGTCAAGGGGTTAAACAAGGGTTGGTTTATGCATTTTCCTGCCCTATGGCCACATACATGTCGTCGGAGGTGATTCACAAGACAAGAAGCCAATTATAACCTAGAGATTAGATTGCATCCTCTGTTGCTACTGTTGGCTGCTGCTTTTAAGGCACCATTGACATACCTGGGAACTTTTACACCTCTATGGACCTGGTAATAGTGCCACGCCAAACTGTAGAGGTTAAAAGTGGGGTGGTTAGTACATCATTGCAATGTGATGTGGTAGCCAAATTCTGCACTTTTTAAAAGCATGGTTCGATAGTGATAGGTCTGCAGGTGACTGCTTTATATTAATATGTTGCTGTAAGCCAGTGTTTTTCAGTCAAGGAACCCTTTAAAATTTGTGCACAATCTCAAGGCACCCATTCTAAAATGTAAAAAACTAAACTAATAGTGTTACATAATGCAGCGACATTAACACACGTAGGACACCCATCTTTAGAGGTGGTTTATGCCTCCTCAATAAATACACCTGGTTCTGACTAGTATTCCAGTGTTTCTCTTCTCCCTCAGTTTCTCTCCCTCTCTCAGCTAATGTGCTGGTGGAGAGGGGCAAACAAGGATGCTGTGCATGTGTCGGACGTCCTCCTTATCAACCAATGATGTCTACTGTTGTTAGGGTGCTGGCAGCTAGAAGATTGTAGCAGTGCACAGTGAAAGACCTGGATGTGGAAAGAGCCAAGCCTGGACCATCTTCTGGTTCGCTCCCTGCAGGCTCTCCGCTCTAGCTGCTTACCACAACGTCACTACACTAGTCAGCCATTTGGTGTCCAAGTGTCAGGCACCGCGTTTCTGAGCATGCATGGGACCAGCGTTGACCGGCGCTGATGAAAGAATGTGCCAGCCGACGCTGGTCCCGTGAATGCTCAGAAACGCGTCGCATCCAGTTGACTTCAGACGCCCAGCGTGACTAACTCTGGACATATTGGAGACCCAGCCAGGCTTCACCATCTATGCCTTGATGCAGCACCTCCTGCTGGCCGACCAGGGTACACCCCTTTCCGGATCAGCCATTTACATCTGGCGACAGACGTTTTATACCACTTCCCTATGAGCCTGTTTTTACTAAATCCAGACATATTGGAGACCCAGCCAGGCTTCACCATCTATGCCTTACTTGATGCAGCACCTCCTGCTGGCCGACCAGGGTACATTCCTCTCCAGATCAGCCATTTACATCTGGCGACAGACGTTTTACACCACTTCCCTATGAGCCTGTTTTTACTATCCAAGATGTGAGTTGTTAAACTTACCTTATTAAATATTTTCACACGGTTTACACTTAGAGGCACTGTGTCCTTTTCTTTCAATATGCTGCTATGCCTACTATAAAGTGAACCTGTTATTTCCCTACTGTTGGCCAAATACAGGTTCACTTTAAATTTTCCTTAATATAATTATCGCCAAGTCCAGACCACACGACATCAACGTATCAACTCTGGACTTGCTTACGTTATTTCCACCGGCATCTGATTCTCCTTTCCTCTTTTGTTCCCTTGCTCCGTCGGTTCAGGAGATAATGGGAAACAGCCGCCATCAATTTAGGATCACGTTTATTTAAAAACGTTATCGTTTAATTTCCCTTCTACAAATGAAAAAGAATGGAGTGTGGAGAGGTTCCAGGACGCGTCAATCCTGCAGGAAGGTCCCTCAGTGATGTCATTAGTTTTGCTTCTGCAGAATTCTGATTTATCCTGGAAAGAATTATTGCAGCCGATTCTAACCTAAACTCAGCAGGTCTTGCGCAAAGCTCTTGATTTCTGAACCGACAGGAAGAATCGGTGGCAACTGCATTAAAATAATTAAAGTGTAGCCAAATCCAAGAACAAAAATGTTATAAATTGCAGCTTAGCTGTTATTAGAAGTGGTGGCTGCACTAGTTTCCTTTTTTTTTTCCAGACATTTTGAACTCATTTTCATCCAGAGATTCTGTGAGTAGCACAATTCCTGTCCTAGGGGGAATGAGATCTTGGGGCTCATTCACATGGGTGCTGTAGCCTGTACAATGTGAATCAGCTTTTTTTATGTGGATGGAGCTGTGTCCAGGCAGCCTATGTTATGCTATGAAGACCTCTTTCCCTTCCTATAACTTTGGAAGGTTGTTCTGATGTGTTATGGTTTCTTCAACATATTTAAATGTTGTATGTTTTATTGATATGTAAGTACCATATGACTCTACATTTAAAATTGCCTGACAGCAGCATAAATGTATGTTCTAATTATATTTTTTTTTTTTCAGATTGCATTGTATTGTCAGCAGAGTTTCCCCTGAAGAAGAAGTTACAGTCTCTGAAATGCATCGGGTACTCATTTAAAGTCTCTGTAAACATGTAAAACTTTTCTACAATGTAACTTCTTGTAATAAGTCTATTATGTAAACAGCATTGTATGGACACATTGTAATATAATTTAATTTGCCTAAAAAGTCCCTTAAAGTGTTACTAAACCGAGGACCCTGCATTCACTATATCTGCTCTCCCACAGTACTCAGAACATGGAATTGCAAATAGTTTAGTAAATATAAACTGCTAAATACGTTTTCTCATCAGCAGTTAAGACAGCAGTGTGACTTCTATCAGTGTCCAGCAGAGCACATGTTAAAAGCTTGTAGGAGGAGTTTTCATTTTGCTCTAGGAGGATGCAGAACCCCTAACCTCTGTGTGCTGATTGGCCCTGTGCTGATCACATGTACTCTACCATGAAAAAAAAAACTTCTCTAGGCAGAGTGACTCCGCACGATATGTCTTATCAGGAGATAAGAGGGGGGCACTGGAAAAAGAAGAGGATCAGAGAAGACAGGATCAAACAGCAAAACTGCAAACTGCAGCTCCCCAGTGCTGGCAGTACTCATGCAGCCCCAGACCATAACACTCCCACCACCATGCTTGACTGTAGACCAGACACACTTGTCTTTGTACTCCTCACCTGGTTGCCGCCACACACGCTTGACACCATCTGAACCAAATCAGTTGATCTTGGTGTCATCAGACCACAGGACATGGTCCCAGTAATCCATGTCCTTAGTCGGCTTGTCTTCAGCAAACTGTTTGCTGGCTTTCTTGTGCATCATCTTTAGAAGAGGCTTCCTTCTGGGACATCAGCCATGCAGACCAATTTGATGCAGTGTGCGGTGTATGGTCTGACCACTGACAGGCAGACCCCCCCACCCCTTCAACCTCTGCAGCAATGCTGGCAGGACTCATACGTCTATTTCCCAAAGACAACCTCTGGATATGTCGCTGAGCACGTGCACTCAACTTCTTTGGTCGACCATGGCGAGGCCTGTTGTGAGTGGAACCTGTCCTGTTAATCCGCTGTATGGTCTTGGCCACTATGCTGCAGCTCAGTTTCAGGGTCTTGGCAATCTTCTTATAGCCTAGGCCATCTTTACGTAAAGCAACAATTCTTCTTTTCAGATCCTCAGAGTTGTTTGCCATGAGGTGCCATGTTGAACTTCCAATGACCAGTATGAGAGAGTGAGAGTGATAAGACCAAATTTAACACACCTGCTCCCCATTCACACCTGAGACCTTGTAACACTAACGAGTCACATGACACCAGGGAGGGAAAATGGCTAATTGGGTCCAATTTGGACATTGTCACTTAGAGGTGGGCTCACTTTAGTTGCCAGCGGTTTAGACATTAATGGCTGTGTGTTGAGTTATGTTGAGGGGACAGCAAATTTACATGTTATACAAGCTGTACACTCACTACGTTACATTGTAGCAAAGTGTCATTTCTTCAGTGTTGTCACATGAAAAGATAGAATAAAATATTTACAAAAATGTGAGGGGTGGACTGACTTCTGGGCGATACTGTAAGTCCTATACTAACTGCCTGGTAGAGGAAAGA